GCGGGTCCGACACGAAGCGAAGCACGTTATTAGCACCGAACGCGTCAGGAGTGTTCTACAAAACAGGTTGGCCCTAATCGGTGGCGCTGCTGCAGGTTCCACATCGTTCGCGCTACTCCGATGCGGGAAACCAGCGGGCGCTGTATGTTCACAACGCACGACACCGCCTTTCTCTCGCACCGCGCCAGGTTCTCGCCGGTAAACTTGCAACGGTGGCCGGTCGCTTTTCAAAGAGATAAGTGGGTTGCTAAAAGGGAAATACTCGGATTTCATCTGCTCTGACAATTACCAAGCCCATCCAGGAACCTTCAATGGAAGACGTTCCACGTACAGAAAGTGACTCCCGAAGAGAAGAAGAGTATGCGTTTATTGTCTCACAGAAGGGTGGGGAAAAGCCGTGGCTTGACCCATGAAGCAGTACCCAACACTGTGATTTCCATTTTCAAATAGCAGGCTATAAGCCCCAGCCACGCTGCGGTTTTACCGTGTGGCGCCTGGATCCCCAACTCTCGAAGCGAGCGACTTTTCCCACGAAGAGAACGAAAAGTCCCGCTACTCACACATGACTTCCAGGTAACGCTGCGTCTGCAAGTCTTTGACCGCGGGGTGATCCACCAAGCAGATGACGGGGACCCCGTCGTCCTCCCGTCCCACCTTCAGCACCAGCCGACTGGTCACCGTGTACATGTCGGACCACTGCTCCACTTCGGACTTGCCTGCCGGGGAGAGGGGACAAAGAGAGAGAGCGGAGGGTGATCGAGGGAGGGACGCGTCCGGGCAACGCGCCTCTCCGCGAGGCTCTCGCCAACCAAAGTCCGCGTGACGTCACCGCCACGATTAACCACCCCTCACGCCATCCCTGAACTCCTCAATCAATGGAGCTACAAATCCCCTCCCGCTCTTGAACCAACAATTAGCTGGAAAAGCGATTAAATGGATTAACTTCATTAAAAGCGGTGTCGATGGGCTGGAGCATCGCAGCGGTGCTCCGTCTGAAGGAGGGAACGGCAGCGGTGCTGGGAGCGAAGCAGGGCTCAGGACGCCGTAACGCGTGGCACGGCAAACACGGAGGGAGAAAAGACAAGGCAGGAGAAAAAGGGCTTTTCCCAGAACTCAGCAAGCACTGGCTGACGATGCGCCACTGCTTCGTTTTCAAATGCTCTTCTCTGGGGCTTTTTTTTTATTTACGAATTCGCAGGCCAGAAGGCTGTTAAGAGTAACTTTTGTAGCGGAGGTCTTTCAAACGCAAAATATTTCCCTCCAGTCTATCAAAGCGAAAGAGAGGACAGGCGCAGAAAGCAACGCCCCTCAATACTGAGAAGCCATGCTTCCCTGCTCTTTGTGGCCAAGTATTTCAGTTTCCCTACTTCTGCCTAAAAATTATTTTTTATTTATTATTTTTTGTTCCGCCTCTACCGGCACACCCCCAGCGCGGGTCCTACTCGGATGCTCGCAGGTGTGGGACTTGAAGAGAGGATTTTTTTTTTTCCTCTTGCCCTCGTAGGGGGATGTGGGTTGAAGTAACGAGGTCTGGACCTCCGCAGAGAGCCCTTCAGCGTCGCAGTCCGGGTAAAGCACAAAGGCGGCGTCAGCCGAGCTCACGTCTACGTGCAGACTTAAACTAACAGCACGTCAGATGCGATCAGAGTCGGTGACTCGAATGTGCAAATACCGGGAGCAACCAGACTTCAGGGAGTGGGAGAAACCCATCTTGTATGAATATTCAGCTGAACACAGGAAAACGCTCTACAAACAAGAGAGCTAGGTGTGATGGTGAATTGAAAAACCTTTACGGCCCAAAGCCCAGGTGATCCTCCTCGTGCCCAAGGCAGGGCAGAAAGCCCCCCAAAGCCCCACAGAAGGACATTCGAGGCACAGAGTCAGGGCTCCTTGAGGTCACCCGCGGTGACGGAAAGACTCCAGAACCCCGTACTCGAGTCTGGTAGGTAGGCAGAGCACCAAACGGAGCGCAGCCCTTCTGCGTTAGAGAATAATCTGTCTGCCCACATATTCCTTTCTTTGCTCCTGAGCTGGCGTTCAAAGCAGCTCGTGCTACAGTTTTTTCCTTCTTCCCCTCCCCCCCCCTTCCCTTAAACTGGTGACAGAGAAGAGATACCCGGCACTACATAAATCATTTCAGCTATCCGAAAACCACAAGTGACTGAGAGGATACAGGTACCGGTCAGCTCCTTGTTTCCTTTGAACCATCTGATGGTGGTGGCTGGTCTGCTGGCCATGGCGGTGCAGTTCAGCTCAATCTCTTCTCCCTCCACGGCGATTTCCTTCTGGACATCAATTACCAAATTGCGTGGCGGGACTGCAATGAGAAAAACCGACCACCACACATACTTGGATGGAAAAAAAAAAACCCAAAACAAAACAAACACACCATTTTTCGATCACTAACACTAGACAAAACCGTCAGGAAAGCCCATAAAATCTACCAGAGGAGACTAGCCACCCGCATTTCTTTGATCTTTCAATCGATCAAATCCTTTGATAGGCAGTTTCACAGTAATCAGAGCAAGTGCTTTCCCTCTCCACCTAATAATCATCGTGGTTTTGCAAATTATTACTTATCAAATTCGTAACTTTCTGTTCTCTCTCCCAGGCAGGCACCGTTCCAGGGAAGAGCTTTAGCCTCCCGCGCTGCTCGGTGGTGCACGCTGCTATTTAACAACAAAAAACCCCAGCAAACCGGCTCAACTCCGTGTGCGTTTCTTGACTTCTTCTGACAAGGAGAGGAAAGGCAAAAGCCAACGTTTGGAAGTGCTTTACTTACTGCACGCCTCTAACCTGGCAAGGCAATTTTTCTCCCCTGCCGTCCAGAGCCACGGAGGCCAAATCCAGAAAACAAGGAACACCAAGACTGCGTCCAGCCCGGACTCGCAGTTTCAGAAACCCCCCAGAACTTCCAAAGGAAGCTCAACCTTGCTCTGATCAATACGATTTAGCAGCTGCATAGTTCACATCTCTGACTAAGGCGCTTCTGAGCTAATGAAGAACAAATACATATAAATACCATCCAGATGATCAAACGGATGAATTAGTCACTTGCGGCTCTTCTCTAATAAGAGCAGGATGGGCCACGCATTTGAGATTTCCACATCTTCCAATTAAGCATGAATAAATCTGTGAAGGCGTTAAAGTACCCGGGAGAGCGGGGAGGGAGGAAGCCGGAGAAAGCTCTCTCCGAACGCTGACTACAAAGAAGGACGCCTCGAAATGTGGCTCCGCTCTCCCGAGCGAGTCTCACTGGAAGCGGATTGGCAAAGCTACTCTTTGATAGATCTTTAAGATGTATCGAAGCCTGAGCGACAGCCATGAGGTCTTTGGTGGGGGACGCGTTCCTAGGAAAATGAAATCCAGCCAACTATTTCTGCGTCTGCATGCGATTAGAGGGGAGAGCTTCCCATTCCTATGAGCATCTGAAAGCACGCTAAAACTCTGGAGGTGCTGACAAACGTAAGAGCGGTAGTAGAGCTGCTTGCACACGTTACTTAAAACAGCGTACAAAAACCCAAGAACCAAATCTCATTAAATAAAAGAGGGAATTTTTGTCTCAGTAATTTTCGCTATAATCAATGGGAAGCCGTCCCTCTCCATCAGTCGACCTCAAGATTTCACTGGCTGGCTGGAGCTCTCCAAACGCGTCCAGGGATTACAAAGTCCACTGCAAGCACCCATTCGGTCCTTACCGAGCACGGTAATCGTGGTATAAATTTCCTGGGGGGGATCGGTGTAGAGCTGGCAGAAGTACCTTCCTTCATCAGAAATGGAGACGTTTGTCAAGGAGACTCGGAGCTCGCTGTTGGAGAAGTTCACCAGCTGGAACCTGCTGTCCTTCAGTGCTGCGGAGCAAGAACACCCTTCGTGAGTGCGAGGAAAGACGCCGTGTCCCCTTTTTCACACAACAAAGTCAAAGGATATAAAAACGGCGGTGGCAGTGGCAGTACCCAGACAAGCACCCCGCAGGTCTCCTGACTGCCCCTTCCATCCCGCTTCTCTTACGTTTAAGGCTGGGCCTATACAACAGCTCCGTTATCGGGTCGTCGCAAAGGATCAACGTAAGCAAATCACTGCGTCGAACCCTCGCACGTATTGGACGGCCGAGGGGTGTGCAGGTAAAATGCTTATTGTGAAACTGCGCTTCTACGCGGATCGTCTCGAAATTCTCAGTCTTCGAACCAAACCAAGATTACCTCTGAGAACATCGCGCTGCCTCGGCGTTGCCCTATTCAATTTGTTTGTGTCAGCTAAATATTTGGCACTCGATTGCAATTCACCCTGAATGACTACAATCAATTCCTATTGCAAAGTAAGGCGGTCTGACTTTTAAAAGGGACCATCAAGGTTTCCATTAAGGAGAAAGATTATGATTGCCTGTCTCATCCGCCCTCTGAAGAATTGACTGAACTTTCAGCGTCTAGCATCACATTAAAAGAAGAGATCTCAGCAAATGCTTCCCCCCTCCGCCGCCCCCGGGCGCGAGCGAGGCGCAGGAGAAGTCGCCGCCGAACGAGGACGGCTGACACTTACGTCTGAAGTCTCTGAAGTAAATCGTCTGTCTGTTGGGGTTCAGGAGCTGGATCACCGAGTCGTCGCTGTTCTTGACCCGGCAGCTGATGGTGGCCACGTCTCCCTCCACCACCGTCACGTCTTCGGTAACCAAGTTCTGACCGTCACCTTCAGAAGAGAGTAGAGATGAGATGGTGCAATCAGAAACGACAATGTCAGGAAGGCCCTTGGGAAACGACGAGCGCGCAAGGGGGAACCGCGGGGCTTGCAACGGGGGAACGTTGGCCAGCAAGTCATTGACCCTGGGTCCTCCAGCCAGCCGGGGCTGTAAGGAACCGGGACCCTTTCACCCCCGGTAAGCGAGCAAGCACACCTTGCACGGCCACATTTGGGCTTTGGCGGGGCTGGAATTAGTTTCGCCGAACAATCACCCCACAAGAAACACTCCGAGCAGCAACGCCAGGGAATACAGATGCGGATCTTCCCTACCACCACCCCCCCACACCCACCCCCCCC